GTAAGGATTGTGCTGAGTGGCGACCGATAGTCTCTGCCTACCCCGATGGGAACTAAGGGCGTGAGTAGGTAAATAAAAAAATTGAAAATATAGTTTTAATTTTATTGTTAAGCAAACTCAGCGCATACATTTTTCCACTTTTCATTTAACATCAGGTAGAGTGGTGTCATCTGCTTGCCACGTATACAAAAAAGAAATTAAGTGCCAATATCTCGAAAATTACCTAATAAAAAATGCAAATGCGTCAGTTATCACAAGAAGTGATGTTGGAAATTGTAAACATGATGATGACGTGCAGCGGTCATATTTTGATTTTTATGGTATTTTGCAAAAACCGTGTATATACCTACCGGAGACGTTGCTAGCTCGCTCCCGAGCAAGATGTAAAAGGTCGGGAATAATTGTTTTTTTCTTTTGTTTTATATTCGGATATTTACTCTATTATTTTTTAAATTTTTTTCTGATACTAAGTGACAATACGAACAAGTGATGCGCTTGGTAGTAAGCGAAACGTCTGTCCATAACAGTTGCAGTGCAACTCATAGCTTTAAATCACAAAGATCTGAGGGGCACTGCCATAAGTTAACAACTTATGTCTCAGGGTGACGGGCGCATGTGCCTGTAATTTCACCAACGCCCTTACCCCATGCTCACATTACTGGTTGAGGGCGGAACTATGTAAAGTGGCAACACTTCCCTGGACGAAATCTTTCACAAGGTGCTGTACTGTTAGTATATGTGTTACATAATGTTATATAATGCTTTGTAAATATTAGTCCGTAGTGTGTGATTTCGAACAATTTATTAGTGTAAGGGAATATAAAATTGAATTCATAACAGTCGGTGGTGGTCATGTCGTTGACCCTATTATAGTTGGAGCGACGGTTACCGTCTTTTAAGTAGATTGAACGAATGAATATATTCGTATGAATATAATCGAACCCGCGTCGCAAATTTAATTCAAAATATTTTTAAAGTTGAATTAACTTTAGTAAAGAAATAAACGCATTAATATGCCTAATCATGTTTCAGTGACTAATAAGGAAATAATATGGAAATTACCTTTGGGGAAATCCCATAGAATAACTATCTGATTCATGGTTATTTTCTGTAGGAAAATGTCTATTATAATGCACAAAAATGTCTAATAAGAGATCAGTATCGTTATGCTGTTAAGGAAATATAATATATTATCGACTTTTATAAGCACATATAAAGCTTATATTACTCATTACCTTCCTTAACTACAAGGAGAATTTTTGTCCAAGAATGATTGAGTCAGTCAGCATACGAACTGCACACTAACTGCAATGGCGAAATGGCGTAATGGCGATTCGACTGCATCGCAAATGTAATTTTGGATTGGCAATGCAGCTTCAATGCAGTCCGTGTGATGACACTTTTATTTTCCTATAGATATCTTGTGCAGTTAACATCATAAACAATAACTGTTCTTCGTATATTCTGTCATAAGTGTAGCTATATATAAATTGTCATTTTGAAGGCTTTGGTGAAATACGTACACGATATTATATAATAAAAATTACGTAATTTTCTGAAATCCGCAAACCTCCTTCTCTACATGCAATAATTTGAATTCACGCTCCATGTGCTTGGCACACGTTATTTACCTAAAGTAATTATCAAACATACACCATATAAGACACTTAATAGTATGCCTACAGATTTACCTTAACTTTATCTTAATTCCATAAACTTCTTAGGAAACCCAGGCACATAATCTAATTACGTTATGATAATGAAATGTGATAGCAGCGAATTTTCATTATCTCCACGCAAGGTCACTAAACCTGCCCGGGCGCATTGGTATGCAATTACAAAACCTGAATTCTCTTCTTTATAAGTCCGAAATACAATTTCGAGCTTTTACCCCTACTTGGACATTTTTTTTTAATAAATAACGCACACACTCAACATAGCCCCGCACTAGGGAAACCCTGTGTCGCGGGTGCCATGGACACACACATAGACAACCACAAATTACACCCAAACTCACGAGAGAAATAATTGTAGGCCATACAACTATTTCTCTCGGCCCGGGAATCGAACCTGGGACCTCTGCGTGGCAGTCCGGTATGGTAACCGTTCGGCCACGGAGGTAGTTAAACAACAATAAAAATTCAACAAAGGTTGATTAGACACAACAATAACTAAAGTTGTGGGCAATAAAATCGATCGATTGCAAAATTTTAACATAAGCAGCATTGACTTACAATTATAAAGCAGTAACTTTTTTATGGCATCAAGTAACTGGATGAACAAGTCGTCAAGGTGCTTAGCAACGTCAACACTAAAATCAAATGGGTATGGGAAGGCAGTCCCAAGCGCGCACAATTTCACCAGCACCTTTACCCTTGAACCAGAAGTCAGTAATGCTCACATTACTTATCGCGTAGTAAATAAATTTTAAGAGATAAAAACAAATTATCAGCTATTTGTTAGCAGTTTGATTTTGTAAGCTGTGAGTTTATTTTTCTTGGCATCTACGCAAAATGCATAGGCCACGAACGGAATTACTAGGCCATTCTTCAACTGACATGCATGAGATTTGAAACTAGAAAAAAAGTAACAAGTCTGCTGGTCGTGTGGAAGTCCTAATTTTGAATATTGATCATGAGTACTAAGCTAAAATCATTAAGTTACGAATGAGTTTGTATTTTCAAAATATATCTTTATTGCTACTAAAGCTAAAATTAAGGGAGAAATGTTCAACTGAAAAAATTTGAGAATTAAGAAAGATTGTGTCCCTTTCGTATCCGACATTCTACTTAGTAACTCCACACACCAAAAGTGTCTAGTGATCAAGCACATTTTTGCCAATTACTGAAAATTAAGTTTTGCAATTATTTTATTAATATCGATAGACTTTTTTGGCCACTTTCAGAATTTAATAATTTTTTTAATGAAATTGATTTAAAAAATATTGGTGTTAAAAAACTTATAAAAAAATCTTTCAATAATGAGCAAAAACCTGTTTGATCCCTAGATAGTTTTGATGTATCTTATGCTCTTTTTTAAACTCTACCAAAGTGGAACGGAGAAGTGCGGTGTTGTATCGACTAATAGTAATTTTTCAGTCTTTGACATATCCACGCCGCCGCGCAGTAAAATAACAAACACAGCACAGTAAAAGACGTGCTAAGTAATTTCTCCATGAGTAATTGTACGTAATTATACACCAAGAAACGTTAACCTTGTAGCAAATGAATAGAAATCGTATCATTTAAATAAAATCCTTAGTCACTATTATGTCTTGATAAATTATAACTTCTAGCATACTCCACATTGTATGATAGTTACAATCTAAATTTTTCATCAAGTTCTAACGGCCGAAACAAATGAACTTATGATGGAAATAACTGTTTTACTTTAGAGAACATAGATAAGATCAGTAAAAATAACAATGGCACTGCGAAGCCTTTAAACAAATTTTCTATCCGGTAAGTTTATACCTACGTATGCCACATCAAAAGTGTCTAGGGATCAGGGTATATTTTCTTAAAATATTTGATTATTTCATTGAAATGAAATAAAAATATCTATATAATTATTAATACAAAGATCGAACACTCAGAAAAGATTCCTTCGATCCGGTCGGATTCGAACCGACGTCTTCTTGCATACCGTGCCAGACGCTATACCAACTAAGCCGCGGAACGAACCAACGGACCTCACGAATTCTTCTATGTGCTTGCGTCGTGTCTTTGTATTTGTATTTGTATTAATAATTATAACAAACTAGTGGAGTAATTTCACAAAAAATAATTGAATGTCAATTCAATAAAAATTTAATTAATATCTATTTGTATAAATTTATTAAGTTATGAAATTGACCAAAAAAATAATTAAAATTAAATAAATCTGATTTTCAGTAAATAGCAAACACGTGGTTGATCCATAGACGCTTTTGATGAGTGTATATTATGCAAATATAAAGAAAGTATATATTGTACACTTTCATTATGCATATTATAAAGCCACAAGCCCTGAGTTTAATTAAGCCACATAAAAGTCTTAGAAATAACTCGAAGTAGGTACATAAAACAAATTAGGTGTATATTTTTTATGTAAGCATATAAAAGTTGTCGAATAATTTCGTTCATAGAATCTTTAATTCCCTTTCCTGAAAAGTTATCACTTTGCAGATGTAGCCTTACACCAAGGATTTGCACAATTACCATTATCTAACAATAAAACAACGCATTAAAAATATCACGAATAATGGAAAGTTCGATAGTCGGAGTACGTTTATCCGCCATACAGAAGGTCCATCTTCTCCCAGCTTACGATTTGTACCGCCTAATGTTTAAAACATTTGATATGTTTTAAACTATCAAAAGAAGGGTAATTAAACTCGATATTCCAAGTTACTAACCCGCATTGCATGGTGGAATAAGGCATAACTCTCTCTAAATCTCTCCTTTTATAGAAACCTCTAGAAAAATAGAGTTGATACAATTACAGAAATAAAAACACTTGAAAGATCCCAAACGAACGCATGAAACATCCCTGACGAATTGACACACTCAACAATTGCACTGCCATGTTGAAATCCACACTTGCCACCAAAACACAATTAACCATCCTTGTGGATCTAATTGACTTAGTAATAAGTATTAGAATTAAATATGCGGTAAAAGTCTTTGGATTGGAATCGTGTTGTGACGAAGTTGACAATGTATTGGGTCGAATAGATGAACCAAATGTTTATTATGGATGTTGTATTCTTGGGAAATTCGGTCGAATTGCTAATGATCGTCCCTCTAGTACATTCCAAAGTGGTTTTCGGTTAAGGATTACTGCATTAAGTAAGCTTCACTGTAATGACCAATCTTGTAGTCAAGTTTACTGACTGTGGCAAAACTTCTTTTCTGAAGATTGATTTCATTACACAATAACGTTGAAGCTAGTACTTTAATAAAAGTTGTTTTGATTCTTGAAGAGTTGATTAAATGATGATGAATTGAGATATAACTCACCTGTTAATACTGTTCATCGCTGACGCTCCAGAATTCTCCCTCTCGTTCCTTTCTCTAGAGACGGCGAACCTTTCAAAGTTTTCTGTTTTATAATGCCGTTCAGGCCTCGGAGACGACGACCGTCTGCCCTGCATCTGCTGAGGCATATTGTTCTGCTGCACCGTTTGAAGAAGGTTGTGATTTGATTGTGGCTGTTGAAGGGCCTGAAGCAGCTCTTGAGCATTTGCCGCTCCGTTGTTAAGAAAGCTTTGCAGTCCGGGGTTTAACAAGGCATTCGATAAAGATGGGTTTAGCATGTTCGGCCGTATGTTTGGTGGTTGTTGGGGATTTGAATTGAGGAGTTGGTGGGGTTGTGCCATCGCTTGTAGGTTGGCGAGTGATGTTGAAACAACTTGGCCGTTGTTTAACGCTAGGTTCACCATCTGGTCGTTCGAATTGACGTGGTTGACTGGTATTGTTAGAATTGTTTGCGTTGCGACTCCTGTGGAATAAAACATCTGTTCAGCAAAATCAAGAGTTATATAGGTAAATGATAATATATTAAAGATTTATAGTTATTATATATATTTTAACGTTTTCCTTAAATATTCCGTATTTTGTCACTGACGTACAATTTAATCTCACAGTTTTTTTAATTAAAGGCAATATTTTTTTGACACACACACTCATAGCCCCGCACTGGGGAAATCCAATATCGCGGGCACCATGGATGGACAAACACATAAATAATCACAATAATATTTAAACTCACGAGTGAAATAAATGTAGGTCATACAAATATTTCTCCCAGCACAGGAATTGAACCCGGGACGGTAACCCTTCGGCCGCGGAGGCAGTTAAATTTATGCACATAGATGTATCTCGTACTCTGCAATCCTGCGTTATAAATTCTCAAGTAAAATACTGACCCTGTGAAGTAGGAATAAGCAGCTGTGCTCCTTGGATGCCCTGCACCAGCTGCCCTGAGGCGAGGATTAGCTGCGGCATCGGCGATGGCATCGCCGGCGGGAGCATGTTGTTGTTGCCCACTGGAGTTGGAGATCCCATGCCTGTTACAAAAGAGTATCGTGATGATTGTTGGGAAAATCTATAGTGTAGACGACATGACGCCGGCTTCCATATTTAAATGACGAACGACTATGAAGTAGAATTCCCTGCCTGCAGACTTGTTCCCTGATCGTTATAACATGGACATTTTGAAGACGAGGCTGAATAGGCATTATTTAGGTGTAAATGCTCTAATCTCGACCTCATCGTCACTTTCCATCAGGTGAGACAGAGGTCAAATGCACACTTACATTTTTTATAAAAAAAACAGTGTTATAATCGTATAAAGGACTGATATCTTTTATAACTAATTTAAAAAAGATCTTTACAAGAAGATAATGATTGTGTGAATGAATATTATGACGTTTCACAATCACTTATTTTTTGTGAAGTGACTCCATTAGTTTATTACAATTATTAATACATATTGAACACAGAGAAAAACTCTTCGATCTGACAGGTCTCGAACCTGCGTCGGTGACATACCATACCATTGTACCAACTGAGCTACAGATAGAGTCCCTTACGAGTTTTTCTATGCGTTTGTTACAGATCTTTGTTTTTGGCTTTAACGAATTTTTTGCCTTAGCGCCACCAGTTGTCACTGGTCTATGAAAGTACTTTCTTCATTCAACCTGATACCTATACAGCTACCAGAGGTTGACAAGAGATGTCACTTTATAAATTGTAATGTTGAGATTGATTTGAAGAAAATATTTGTCATAAATTGTGATAATTATTTTATGGTTAAAAATGGTTAAAAAGGCCGAGTTGGCAGAATCATAATATGATTAATTGACAGTTCATTTCTTACAATTCATATAACGCAATTAATCTATTTGACAGTGCTCTATGGAAGTCTACTTAAAACACAAATATATGAATTGCGTTTTTTGTTTTGTTTGAAAATTCATAATATGAAATGTCAATTAATCATATTATGATTTTGCCAATGCGGCCTTTTTAGCGCTGCTGGACTACTGTCAATTCTTATATTTGATATCTACGAGTACTTCTAAAGGATATTTGTAACAAAGAGAGATAGAGAAAGATAACGCAATAGCGTTTAGGGTTATATAACAAAATTTGTAAAAAATGGACAGTGTAAATATGTAAGTAACAGTCTTCAAAACTAAGAGAAAGTTAAAATAAGACCTATGTATATTATGGTTTAGGAATCGTGCAACAATAGAACATAATTATTACTGTGCAAAATCATGGGCTCGTTAAAGGCACTATTAATTAAAAAGTTTCGACAAATAACGCGTGACGATCTTCAACTCCGGCGCATCGGTGCTTTTGTAACATCTCATTTAAGTTTATGACTTATAATAAAGCTGGCAAATAAAATACCCGCTTAGCCATGACGCAGTTACTTATGCTCCGTTACACAAACTTATTTCTAACAGTCCTAATTTTGACTCCATTACATTGGCGTCTTAGAGTAATGTACTGCCTTTTTTTCCAACTGCAAATGCATATTGGCCGATTAGTCATCTCGACACCTTTCCGTCATGGTATTCATTAACAATATGAAACAATGGTACAATATTTGAAATTAACTCTTGAATGCACTGGTGTATGAACCTATATAACTTTCTTTTTAAGTAATTAAACAATAAAATAATATCACAATCTTGTAATTACATGACCCTGGGGCTTTGTCGGACTAAATAACTTCACATAATAAAGCAACGATAGAAATTACTTAAAATCCATCGGCATCCGAGCAAGACTAATTTGCCGCGAACAAAACGGCTCCAACAAAACTCTAAAACATTATCTGCATGCCTTACAAGCCCGTTAAACTCGGCATTAACATAACGTTTTCATTTATACCATGACATTTCACATTTTGTAATAAATGCTCTTTCGTACGGCGCATCAATTAAAGGCCGAAAAAAATGTATAATTAGCTCTATTAAGACAATAAAACTCTTAATGATACCGCAACAGCCGTAATATCCGTGCGTTGGTGAAAAAATATGTAATTATACTCATTATTCAAATAGGTTTTTTCATCCATTACGGCATAGCTTTAATGGGCGGGCGAGTGGAGCCGCTATCTTGAATTCATTAAATCGATTGGATTCGGTAATCACCTAATTACCGATCACGTGATTCCCAAGTTAAGATTTTTAATGCGCGAACCGTGTCTTTCTGATTATCCCAATCTATCTAATTCACTCTAATTAGTGGTATACCCTCTTGGCCGCACCAGCCGACTATTTGAAATGGTAATGCGCCTGAAAAGACAGTGAATGTAGAAACGTAACCGTGCCCGCTAAATTAGAATCGCCGTCTAATCATTTGCATACGTAATTCGAGATTGTTACTGATAATACCAACATTAGTGGGCTCTTTTTTAGAAAACAAATGAGCATAATTAAGTATGGCTTTGTAATTTTTTTAATGAATGGCAGAATACCACCTGCGAGTAAAGTGGCTACGCCTACAGGCATAGTGACATGCTGTGTTAAAAGTTGGCGAAGGCTAATTTTATATTTTTCCATTAAGTTTCACTTAAATTGATTATAACATTGCATTAAGTGGACTTGGGGGCTTAAACTAATTAAGGCCTTACATGGCGACAAAGTAAGTACAGACAAATAATTAAGTTGCGTAAGTAGTGAGGTATTTACAATTAAAATGGATATGATAATTGTTCGTTTTTTCTTGTGTAAGCATAGCCTAACTTTTTATTAGAAAAATATCAAAGAAAAACTTATTTAAACGGACCATTTTGTCAGTTTCAGATCATCTTAACCAATCAAGAAAACTATTTCTCACGCATTGTAATCTGTTTTTTAATTGATTTACTCAGTTCACAAGTAATTGGTCGATCCGTAATCCTGGACGTTGAACTCGAAAATTTGCGATTAGACACAGACAATGCGTCGATTTTCCCATTACAAGAAGTTCAGATGAATCCTTGGGTGAAATATAAGTCCTTAGGAGCCATTCTTTATTAATGATTACTTTATTTCACCGTTTTATCCCTATTTAATTGTAATACTCAAATACTATATTTTTTAATATTTGCAAGTATTTTATATTCAGATGAGTTACTATTATTATTACTTTTTACGTGTGTGCTTGTGTTAATGGTCCGTTTAACAATTTGTCTATCTAGATTGTACTTGTGTAAGTGCTACCATTTTTTTTCAAAACATTGGTTACCCGTTTTGATGAAAATGGAAGAACGCACTTGACCATAATTTCACCTGATTTTAAGCTACGATGTGGTCAATAATCTTACGTGTTTGTCTAGTTTTAAATAGGCGTTAGTTGTAGCTTCTGGCAAACACAGAGTTCGGTAGTGTATTCCATTCCTTTCCCGTGTGATCAGACTTTTTACTAGGCCGAATATTGAACAGTGAGGGTCGAAAAGTTTCTGTGCACACTTTGCAAAACGTACCCGATGGAAAACCGATAAGGAAACTACTAATAAGAAGTGATCGAGATATAGAAACGTCGATTCTAAAGAAAAGATGTTGCCAGTCTGTTTCTTTGTTTTACGTTCGCACAAGTCAAAGATGGTGTCGGGTAGAGAAGTCGTTTCAGATGTGACAACGGGGCCCCAATTCTGATAATTTTTTACCGCTGGTCATAGTACTTCCGTTGAGACTTCATTGAGATCATAATTATTACAATTATGTTAATATTGGTATTCTGCTAAAATCTAGTTACAATGGCAGTTGAGTCTCAATAGTGTCAGTGGAATGGCAGTGATGACGTTCGTTAATTTCATTACATGCCGTACTAAAACTACCACGGAAATTACTATTAAATAACTTAATTTTTATCTCATTAAACCAACAATTTAGTCTTGAAATTAAATACACAGGGTGTCCCACGGCTATGCCACATGGAGGAAAAGTACCTTAATTACCATTGATAGAACATTTTAATGAAAGAAGACTTCATTTTGATTTTAAAAACAATTCGAACTGCATTCAAAGATTTTTAAATAATCGCTTCTCTGAACCGGCAATCTAACCCGCAAAATGTGAAAAAAAAAAACCACCTGTAATTTTGTTATACTGATCGAAAGCCTCAATCATAAGGATTGTTTTCTTCTAAATAACATAACATCTTAAATAAAAGGAAGACCATGAAATTGAAATTTAATTAAAATAATTGGATACATTTAATTGCAACTTACAATCAATCAATTTAAGTTATCAAATGTTCAAAATGTCTCCCATTGTGTAGTATACAAATTCTCACTCTTTTCATAATTTCGCTTCCTGTTGATTTATTTATCTTTAATAATGCGTCTAAGTTCAGTTTGTAACTCCTGCACACTCTCATACTGGTTCCTGTAAACTAAATCTTTTACATATCCCCATACAAAAAAAATGTAACGGGGTTAGATCTGGGGATCTCGGAGGCCATTTAATTTGTCCATGAGTACCGATCCAGGAAGGAAAATGTTCATTAAGAAAGTCCGCTGTTCTCCGACTATTATGATCCAGAGCCCCATCTTGCTGAAGAATGAGACTTCGTCGTTCTGCATCGGGAAGATTATTAATCTCGCTCCTTAAAATCTCAAGTATTTCTAAATATTTTTTCCCCTTCGTAAAAATGTATTAAGAGAACCCGGTTTTTCACAATCCCACATCAACAGTTGAATGAAAAACGCACTGGATCATTAGTCTCGCGGATTCGTAAGGGATTCTGTCTGGACCAAATACGATTATTACGCCGGTTGTACATATCATTGTTACTGAAGTTTGACTCGTCTGACCAAATAATGTTAGTCAGGAAATTTTGATTCTGACCGATGAGCCTCTCGATTTGGTGGCAGAAAATAAGTCGTCTTTCGGCATCACCCGGGCGTAATTTTTGAAGTAATCGCCTGAAGGGCGTAATACATACATACATAACTCTTGAATTTGTATTTTTTCAATATGCGGTGTATTTTGCTTTTTGAAATTCCATTTTCTTCTTCACCTTCCCTCACTGAATTCTTCGGGTTCGCCTCAAAGTAAATCAAAATGTCGAGTTCATCATTGTTAACGTTTATCATTTGGTGCTGTGGCTGCGATACGCGACGACGAAATCGTCCTATTTTTTTCAAATCATCCATCAACCTTCACTAAATAAATCGAGATGGTGTTTCTCTATCGGGATACAGTTCGCGGTACCACTGCAAAGCTAGTGATATGTTTTTGTGGTTCATATAGTATGCTTACATTAAGTCCATTATGTTGATACGCCATGTTAAGTAAATTCAAACAACAATTGCAATGCAAGAAATCGAAAAAGAAATTCACTAAAAAAATGGAACACAATTTCAAATTATTATTTTATAATCAGGCAGCCGCTTTGTAATTGTGAACTTCTTTGTGAATTTCCTTATTATTTTATCATGCACTTATAATAGAGAAATGATATGTATTTCTCAAGTTTGTACTCATTAGTAATACTTTGAAATGATAATGTATGTTGTTATGAGCGCGGCATATTCAGAGAAAAAGTTGTCCATTTTTCTGAACAAAATTTCAAATTAAAGTGAAATTTCATAGTCTTCTTTTTATTTAAGATGTTATGTTATTTAGAAAAAACCAATCCTTATGATTGAGTCTTTCGATCAGTATAATAAAATTACAGGTGGTTTTTTTTTTCACATTTTGCGGGTTCGATTCCCGGTTCAGAGAAGCGAGTATTTAAAAATCTTTAAATGCAGTTCGAATTGTTTTTAAAATCAAAATGAAGTCTTCTTTCAGTAAAATATTTTATCAATGATATTTAAGGTACTTTCCCTCCATGTGGCATAGCCGTAGGACACCCTGTATATAATATTAGTAGACTTTTTTATCATATCAAGTGATGGGACGAACAAGTCGTGCGCCTGATGGTACACGCCTGTCCGTAAGCGCCCAGTTACACGAGAAGAAAGTTTTCGCGCGGCCGCCGCGCTGCGACCGCCCAGTTACCACGCCTTCATGTACATTAATGCCGAATCTGAATTCTGTTTATTATGTAACAACATTTAAATTCCTGTCAACAAAATGACCACGTGGCCGCCCGGCCGCCGCGTGGTTGTAGCGCGGGCCGCCGCGTAGACCAAATTCAAGCCAGGCTAGTCCGCGTGTCCGAAGCGCTCATTTAAATTAAAACGTAAAAGCTAAGCGAATAGAGCGTATTTTGCCATGACAGTTAGACGTACGCGGTCGCTGCGCGGCGGCAACGCGGACTCCGCTCTTCGACCGCGCGGCGGCCGCGCGGGGTGAGCGCGACGCACTTCGTGTCGAATAAATGCGCCCTAGCAGTTGCAACTCACCGAGCTTTAATCGCAAAGATCTGAGGGGCACTGCCACTGCGCCCATCACCCTGAGACATAAGTTGACAAGTCCAATATGTATGTAATTTCCCCTTTACCCTTCAAAATCGGAACACAGGAATGCTGATTACTGCTTGGCGGCAGAAATAGGTAAGATGGCAGTAGGAGTTCTACTGCTGTTAAAAGACTATGTCATCGACTTGCCGTTGATTAATAAATTACTAAAAAAACGCAATGGCAGTTGAATAGTAGCTCGATGGCAAACTAATGACAGGTAAATACTTTTAACTTTTAACATAATACCAAACGTACAAAATCCTGACATTGACACTCTTTTTAACCAGAGGTCGTGGGTTCGAAATTGGCTTGCACGTCTGAATTTTTCGGAATTGAAGTGCGAGATTTAATTTGTATTATACGAGGAGCTTTTCGGTGAAGGAAAACATCTTGACGAAACTGCACAGATCTGCAAAGCAATGTGTGTGAAGTTTCCAACACGTACTGGGTTCGCGTGGGTACTTCAGCTCAAACACTCCAATTGTGAGATGAGGCCTGTGTCCGGCAGGGAGACTATAATACATATATAGGCTAACCATAATATTATAATATTGTTACGGACCCGGAAAGGAATTAAAAATACTTATTTGTTATGCAAGGCTGCAAGCGTAGGAAGGTAAGATTGAACCACGAGCGAAGCGAGCGAAACACACAACTTTTCACCTCACCAGCGAGGACAATGGTAGATGAAAGAAAAACAGTTGAACTATAAAACATAAGTTTTTAAATTAAAAGAAAAAAAATTTCTTCGGATGCGTTCTGAATTTGCACCTCATACATTTTATTTATTTATTATTTATTTATTCATTTGGAACACCAACAGATTACACAGAAAAAATAAGATTAAAATACAACATTTGATAATGCACAGTTCTTATGTGTAAGCCAATTACAGGTATATAAAAATAATAATAAAATAAAAACAACTTTAAATATAAATAATCCAATTATTCATTAGTGTACTAAACTTTAAGGTAAATAATTGATTATAAGATCGGAATAAAAAGTTGATTGATGTAAATATAACAATGCAATTGTATTAATTAAATATTTTATGAAAGATAAAAGAAATACCATGAAAATAAACCATTAAGCTGTAGGAACACGCAATTTACATTTAAATTTATAGAAAGAATCATTAAAAATGTCAAGACCAGTTGAATTGTAATTATTAATTGTTAATTTTTATTCTTCTTGTACTAATAATTTTGTTAGTTCTTCGACGAATTAAAATAATTTAATAAACGCAATTAGTTATCTTTGTCAATTTAATGTCAACAATAATAAGTATAATATATATATAATATACTAACGCATTTATATTACATAATGTACTACAAATCGCGTAGCAGAACGTGTCATTATTTTTTTTTTCATTGAAAGAAAAAGTTAGGTGCACCACATTCCATCGTCAAGTTCGAATTTCTAAAACCTTTTCCACCCTGGCGTTCAGAAAACGCTTTTGCGCACACATTTCTAATGAGAAAGAAAAGCGTTCCGAGCTAGTGAAGTGAAAAAAGTATTTATTGAATGCTCTCTTAACTAATTTTTTAAACACAATGAGTTTTAATTTAACACGTATCAAGTATCAAGTAATTCTAATTCTTAGGGTTCATCTTACCTGGCGCGCTGACACTTAGATTGAGCGGCGAATTGATAACAGGGTTGGAAGGCATAGAGGCCAGGCCTTGCAGATTGGCCGCCAGCTGCGACATTTGCTGGGACATCTGCTGCTGCAGTTGTTGTGACATCGGCATGTTCTGCTGTATGCTCGCCAGGTTTTGCAGGTTTTGGAACATTGACGCCACTGTGAAAAACAGTCATGGGTTAGTTTTTTTGTATTCAGTTGTTTATTTTTATTACGGATAAAGAGTTGGAGTGCCGGTAGACTAAAATCTGTAATTATTACCTTTTTTGGGGGAGCACGAGATTAGGAATAGACCACAAATAAGAAAGAAGAAATAAGAAGAAAAGACAATGGCTACACATGGATAATTTTAAGGTTATCTATGTGTAGCCACTGTCTTTTATTTACGTAGCCGAACCTTTACTAAAATCGTAAGTCGTATTTTAAATATGAGAAATCCAAACGAGATCAGTCAAATTATAAAAAAGTGACTTTTTTAGCGACGAATGAAAGTGTCCTTTCATCTCCAATTGCTCACAATCATCATAACAGGCCAATGAGAACAATGTTTTTCTTACTATCGTTACTCATGCAAGTATAAAGCAATGTATTGTTTAAGAGAACTATTATAGACACTTAAAAGACCAAAGGCTAAATGAGTCTTTGTAAACATATAAATTAACAGAAGTTAGAATACCTACGCTATATTTGACGCGGATAATGTGGTGAACCACATTTATTAATTATGACACACTTTAAAAATACCCGAGTAATATTCTTGGAAACGGTATGATTAAAATGTCTATATGGAAACATAGGTTTCTCCCTTGTAACTCGCTAAAGCAAGTCGACCTACTGATTAGTTGCATTACATATAATATTACGTATAAATGCGGATGCAGCACTGGTACCGGCCGCAAGAAACAAAATTGGTCTTCAGGAAACCTATTTAGTATTGCTCCAGTACTTCGATATTCATTTTTTTATGATTCCAACGGACGGGACGCCAATAAGAGCTATAAATCGCAAAGATCTGAGAAACACTGCCACTGCGCCGTTGACAAGTCTTACGTGCGTAATTTCACCGTCACCCTTCAAAATCGGAACGTAATAATACTCATATTACCGCTTGGCAGCAGAAATAGGTACTTTCCATAATGAATTTTTTCACAAGGAGCTTCTACTATGTTATAAATATAGCAGTAGCAATAAAACTGATTTACAGCTGATTCGACGAAGAGACATTTACGAATATTGGATTTTAAATAGTGGATCAGAATTAAAATTAGGATTGTTGATCACTAACGAAGTAGTGAATTGGCCCTGAAGTGTGACGTAGCCTAATAAACAAGAATGTAAGGAATAATTCAGAAGACGATGTTTGTTATGAACTTAATGGCCATATCTGAATTCGCTGGCACACGTTAAATGAGTTTCTAAAATAGACGAATGTAATGGAAGAAATAGATAGGAAAATATGATAAAATGGTTTGTACGAACTCACTGGAGCCATTCAGATGGGGCTGTTGCGGGCTGCGACGAGGGGAGGGCGAGAGGGGCTCGGCTAGCTGAGTGCGTGCGCCCGCGCCGCCCTCCGGAGAGCTCGCTCCGCTCTCCCGATCCGACTCCGCCTGCTGAAGAAAGCTTGTGTTACTACTATATTAATTATTATTCATTCCACTCCTGTCCCCGTAGCATGGCTACGCATAATAGTCGCAACGCGCGCGATAAAATTGAAATAAGCGCGCGTTATTGGCTATGTAAATTAGATCTGATTGAGATAGCCAATAGCGCGCGCTTATTCCAATTTTATCGCGCGCGTCGCGATGATCATGCGTAGCCATGCTACGGGGCTGGTGTAATAAGAAAAGAGCATCGGATGTCGGACGGTATTTGTGCATATTGTTGATATGTTTAAAAAATCAAACGTTTATTTAAGGAATATCATGATGTTTTATCATGATTATTTGTGAAATACAAATACCAATATCCTTTATTGCCACAATGACACTTTTTGACATAAATAACATGTTAAACCAAAACGTAAACAAACAATAAACGGTACATGACGGTACGCCAAATATATCAAAGGGCAAAAGGAAGTGTCTCAGTTTGTGCGGCCTGGAACCGTTGTTGTCGCAGATAGCGATGTTTTTCAGCCACCTCCTTGTCCCTAAGATCTCAGGCGGGCTTAAAAGCAACGAGAGCCTAAAACAATTTTATGAAATTTTAAAAACCGTTATTCTATACTATTTAATAATTCAATATTATTATACAAGGTGAAAAAACGGAACAAAAAAGAAAAGAAAACATACTCCACTACTTTGTCATTATTATTGATGAAAAGATCGAATTATAACAGAAAGAAAAATTCCTTCGATCTGACATTATTGAATGAAAGGTCGAATAATACAAAGAAAAATTCCGTCGATCTGACATTATCGATGAAAACATCGAATAATATACCTAAAGTAAAATTCCTTCGTTCTGACATTATCGATGAAAACATCGAATAATATAAAGTAAAATTTCTTCGATCTGACATTATTGAAGAAAAGATCGAATAATACAAATTAAAATTCCTTCGATCGGATTGTACTCGACTCAGCGTCTTCCAAAATTCGCAAGATCTGCTTACTCGGTCTGTAGTTAAATTGCTAAAAGCCAGTCGAATCAAGATAGAAAGACTTTTCTTTGTGTTACTTCTATCTTTGTATCAGCAATAATATCACAATTCAAACGTATTCCAAAAGTGCCAGTGGCTACCATACAATTCTACCACAATGCTAATTTGAAATTAATTCACATTTTATTAAATTTCCAATAAGTAGTAATTTGTTATTAGAGCACAATTTGCTTATACAAACTGGCTTAGATAGTTTCAAAAAAACGATAAGTGATGGCGCTTCTATGTACTATAAATTATAGGCTCTATATTAAAACTGATTTAGGTAGGTAATTAGATTGGCCAGGTGTTGTTCAAATTACGTATAACTTTACACAAGTACAGGGTGTTACAATAAACTTTCAAATATTGTCGTATTGATTTTGATTCATAAAGAGTTTGAAAACCTGGCACTGGAGTTTGCTCTTTAGCGTTTTTTATCAACGATAAAATAACGTTTGGACGACAATTCACTATTTCAAATCAACAAAAAAATTTCGAAAGCAATGTTTTCTATTTGAATAAAAAATGCGGCACAACATGTTTTGTAAATAAAATAAGCAATTAGGTAAAAAATATGGAAACACGTGTAGGCTTAGTAATTTAATTAATACCCGATTCATAATTTATTTATTCTCTTTCGTGGAAACGTTTAAAAAGGTATTATAAGATTTATAAGTTATAATTATTTTATGATTACAAATTATAATCATGAAAAAGTTTAAATATAATTCCAGTTATAATTATGAGTTTTGTTTGCTTGTTTTATTCGTTTAACTTCAAGGTTATTACGTACGTAATTTTCTTTTAATAATTATTTTATATAAAAAGTGTTTATTTTAATTTCGTGAAATACATAAACGATATATCTACGACTTTCGTCTGGAGTTTGGAATATAGGAATTACAAATGCTTTTTCTAAAAGTTATTTTTTATTTAAAATTTAAGCTTTTCTTAATGTTTCTCATGATTTTAATAATGATCTAATTAGATTCGCTATGATATTAATGAAAGTACTTAAAGAAACCTAATTAAGCTTTTAAAATATATAATTATTTATAGTGCATAATTTGATGAGGTAATATTTTTTTTCCACTAATAAATTTGCCGAATTTCTTTAAATTAAATAATTTAAGTAAGTACTTACAAAGGATAATGTCATTCTCTTCGCGCTTCCGTTAATTTTGATATATTTTAAAAGTAATATCCGTATATCAAAAAATCATGTCGCAATAATGCGAATAACTCGAACAATGTTCAGAAACTCGTTCCGCAACGAAAGTTTGCGCGGACTTCGCAACTTCACTAAAGTTTGACTACAACTTAGAATCGTTTAAACAGCCACTGGAAAATATTCTTGTCACACACAGTTTTAGTTTTCAAACGTCCAGTTCAGAACGGGAACACAGATACCGGCCGCGAAAGAGGAAAACGTACTATCGGCAAAGCGTACACATATTTTTTCTTTTTTTTTTTTATTTATTTATCAACGGTCCGTACCCACACAGCCGCGCGGCGAAGTTGCACAGCGCGGAATGAAAGCGCGTCATCAGTTTAAAAAATCAACCCCTTTGGTGGTGGCGGGAAAAAATGCGGCCCCAAGGGGCGGTGGGTGGCCCCGCCGAAATCCTTGCCAAAGCGATCTCCATCGGCTCGACTTGTCACTTGTCGAATAAGCATATTATAATTAAAGTTTTTGTTTAGTTTTAATTTGCTTGATTGAGTTTTCTCGATGACGACGATGCCGTTCAGTTTTTAATTTTTTAGGGTGGCCATTACACAAATGCTTGAATTCTAAAGAGATCCTTAATCGGAATAAATAAGTTTCTACTCTATTTAAATGCACAAAACACAGTCTTATAAATTTTTTTTCTATTTATTACTAAAGAATAAAGTCCTGAATCCAATTAAATAAAAAGAGTTAGAAGCAGATTTTTTAAATTTTCTATTATATTAAATATGGAACATATTTCCGTTATTTAATGCTGTTATAGTACTTGTAATTTCAATAAACATTTTTCTCACGAGATTGTGGTGATTTAAATTCAACCAATAATATTTGCAACAAGTAATTATCGCATACGAGTATTTTTCATTAAATTTCTTAATTTAAAATTTTCTTCTTATAACTTCAAGTAAGACAGTGTTCCCGTAAATAATTAAAAATCTTCTCAGTTTCTATTTAATGTTTGTACAATTAAATTGTAGGTGAGCAAAAAGCAATGCAGTTTTGTTCCGATGCACTTTACATTGAACAAACATTTTATATTGTTTAAAATAAAGTTGACTGTGTAACATGAAAGTAGAAGGCAACAAAACCGATTTTTGTTTTATTTTTGTGAAATAAAACGTCACCCTAATAAATGAATGAGAAATGTAGCGAGTCCGGTGCGCATACATAATGTGAGCTTTAATACCGACGCCTAATGAACAAAGTAGAAAAATTATTCATCAACAAGTAACATTCGGAATAATCAGCGGTACACGAAAAAATCAGTAATTATTCAGATGAAGTTGGACGAACGAAGGGGGTAAGGGGGCAAGGGCCGGCCAAAATAAAAACGGTGTTGCGTAGGGGTGACACCCCCTCCCTCGCCTGTACAAATGTTATCTAACTGCGTTCGCTTCGCGTCGCGGCGCCGCTCTCGGAATTAGCACGCCCGAACCATCGAATTTTCAATTTGAACTCAATTTTTTTCCCGGATAGTTTGGTCCTAATGGAAAAGGCTTAGGCATCACGGATTCCGTGTGACGGCGTCGTAGGCCACGGCAGCGGCGGCGCGGGGCAGCAGCGATGTTCCGCGTGATTATTCCGCGCTAATGTGCGGTCATCATTGGGCCACACGCTCACACATTGTCCGCGCGGATGTGTGTGTAGATTTTTACTCATTAATTTTAAAACGCTCCGGATTTTTTTCAGGGCGGGTGCTAGGGGGACCGGGCGGGGGTGAAAATTGGCGATGGCCGACGGGCGGGGTGTCACCGACGGGGGTTATTAAATAGATTGGTCCGCGGCCGAACGGAGTCGATCTGCACTTGTACTCGCGTCATTAACGGGTTGAGAACCGATTTTAAATCGTGAAATAACAGCCTGTTACAGGAAAAGTTGAGCGAGGCTTATCGAGTGCTCCCCACCCTATTCTACAAGCTTAATTGCGTAATTTTTTTCTATTTCTGAGCGACAATTATTTTTCGCGATTCGTTAACATTTCCAGTGTAGTTCGTCTTTTGTTTTTGCATGCATCCGACGCGAAGATGGGAAACAATCGAGCAGCGGACGATATTCGATTCCGTGTAGCCGGTAATGATTGTCACAACAACACTGAATGCCTGATACACACACGTACGTTTTTTTCCTGCGGCTGTTCAATGGGGTGAATGGTAGGGGTGCATGGGGGGAGGAAATGTGAAAAATACTCGAAAAAAGGCGAAATTGTAGCAGATATATAATTAAAGTCGGACGTACAGTAACAGCGAACAGCGATGTATTATGCACACTCCCGTTCTGATGTCGCGAGCAACTCGATGCTCGGAGTACAGTGACCGAAATAAACGCATGACTTGCAACTTGTGTAAAGGCAAACTTCGCTGGCGCTCACCTCATTTCTCAACTTACGGGACACACTGTGTCTAAATAAAGGACTTTTAAGATAATGAGTTTTCATTAACTAATAAAATAACATTTCATTTAATTACTTTTAAAAGTGTTTTTCATAGAAAATGATTTTAAGTCAAAAACCTGTTTTTCTTTTACTTTCACCCACAAATGATGAAATAACTTTAACTTTCCTTTATTTCGTTTGACAGGTGACAAAGCATTACGAAAAATAATTTATAATGTTAGATAATGATGTTGAGTGAGTGAATTAGTTAATAGATAAACAAATCGAGATCTTAGGTTTTCGCGATTGTTAACATAGGAAATGAAACTATTTTTTCGGGTCTAAATCGCGAATTCTGAGCGGCCAA